TCACCGATCAAGTTTTATATTACGGTTTAATTATAAATTAAATAAAAGGAGTTTCAATAAAAGTTCCAATTTTATTTTCTAATTAATTAGTATCGAAAATGAGGTTACATTTTTTTAGATATTTAAATCGCCTTTGAAAGATTTAGCTCCCACTTGTAAGGCTCAAACCATTTTTCATTTCTAGATGTTATATATTAGTGGGGAGCACGCAATGTATAAATATAATAGAGACATGCATGAGATTACAACTGAAAGTGCGATGAGATACAGAATCTAAAATTTTCTATATGGCATTGAAACCACAAGCTAAACAGATTAGATATAGAACTTGGAATACAGACATGCATTCCTACCTGCCCTAAATAATATGACTGATTTTATGTGCCAAAAGAAAAGTTAGGCACGACGGCAAGAAAAGATTCTTTTAAACCATAATAGTAGAATCATTATTTGCTTCCTCCGATGGCAGAAGAAAACCACTCTGCTATGTGCTATCTATATATATGAGTGAACTCAAGCTTCAATCTTGAAAGCAGGAAACCAGATAAACACAGATTATATATATAGCTTCCCACTAGCCCCTTTACTCTCTAGCTTGCTGTTTCAGATATGGCACCACCTGCAAACCTGAGAGAGATTGGTTTGGATGGTTTTGCTCTGATAGACAAGTTCTATGGTCCTGGCACAAGGACCGTTAATGGCAATAAGACGAGGGATATTGATCCTCCTCTTGCACTCATCCTCAGTTGCACGGATACTTCTGCTTCCTTTGGAGTCAGCGTTGTGAGTCATCCAAAGCCTAAACCACCAACTCGATGGGGACGATTCAACTTCAAACCTTAAGCCTTGCCCACTTTTGTATGTGTTGCCTTTAACTTTATCAACTAGGTCTACTACGCATTAAGCTGCTGCTACTCTCGTACTCTACGTGTCAGGTCTGCTTCATGTATGCTGCTATACTCTTGTATTATATGTTTCTATGGATATAAGTTAAGTATCAAGCAGCTCAGAAACTTTCTAATGTGAAGGTTTTCTGCAGCTGAGGAATACTGTTCTGCATGTGCAACTAGCATCTTCTTCTGGTTGTGTACCTTATAAGTAAGTGAGAATAAAATTCTCATTTTACGTACCTGTTAATAATCACTTTGTCTGTGCTTCTAAGTTTTCATTAAGCATAAATAGTCATGAAGATCATTTAAATTTGGGGCTGCAATAAGTTCGAGCATATCTTATTGCTCATCATCAGAAGTTTAATTTGTTTGGTAAATTTAATAACTTACATCAGCAAAGCAATATTAATCTTCTTTGTATGTAATTATTCACATATGCTGCTTTCGTTACGTGCAGCTGTTTTTGTTTTTGTTTTTTTTTTCCCCTCGAGGTAGAATACGTTCAATTGATTTGTCTCTTTTTATACTCCGTTCGTTTAAAAATATAAGACATTTTTAATCGGATCTTACTTTTAATGAAGTAGTTACTTGCTTTCCAAGTAACCCTGTCTTTCTATATTTACTTTTATTAAATATGCTATAATCAATATGAAGTTATTATTAATAGAGACACTTTTGAAAAAAAAAAAGACAATAATTACACCTCAAAAGACTAAAAATATCTTATATTTTTTAACATCCAACTCCTCAAAAATTCTTTACATTTTTGAATGAAGGGAGTAAGCTTTTCTTATTTATGGTTATCAGTCATTTAATTTCCATAAGTCTACAAAGCAATTGGGTAATTATGTTTGAGAGATCTTTGAGGAGATACGTAATATTGGATCAATGTTTTTTTTCCATATTTAGTTAGAGCATTTTTGGTAAAGATGACAGTAAGGATAGCAATTAAGTAATTATCAATTGAATTCCTGAACTTTGACTTAAAAAAATTCAATCTTTATAACTTTTTTATTTGAAACATATAATTCAGTCCTTATATTTTTTTGACGTTTGGGAACAATACTAAGCTTTATATATTTAAAGTGCTTATTTTTAATTAAATTAAAATATGTAAACCTTTTATAATTATTAATTTTGTAATAGCAGCAAAATATTATTATTAATATTATTAACACATTAAACTTCACTTATTTTGATTTAACTGGATAAAAGTATATTAAATATATAAAATTAAGTATTTAAGTTTTGCTCTAATTTATTAACTCTATAAATTACAAGGACCAAATTATGCCAACGTTCAGAGACTAAGTCGATATATAATTGAAAAAAAAGTTATCCGGTGACTATAACTTATATTATCCCCTAAAAATAAACAAAGATCTTTAATATTAATTGATGAATTGATTTTCATTAATTGAAGGAGCTCCTCACTGAGGCGATCCAATTAATCCTGTCATCAATTCATTATATTGACATTGTTCTACCCAGTGATACCCCCCCCCCCAAAACTTTCTTCTAATCAATCCACTCGGTGAACTTTTTACTCAGGAAAATAAATAAATAAATAAATAACCTTATCCCGTACGTGATGGGGTATATATCCAATACATATCGGATATCTCCCTTCTTCTATACGATTTTACTTCCCAGTATTTCTAGCTTCAAGTATACACATCTGAAGGGAATCAGAATATATAATATGATGATTGATGAAGGGTTGGGATATATCATATTTTTATTTATCAAAAAAAGGAATATGTCATTTTTTCTAACAGACATCATAAAGGATAATGACAGTAACTTTTAAAAATACTGATTGCTTCCAAATAAAAAAATATTAATTACAAACGAAATTACCTTAAAATACCAAAAGAAAATGTAACGTAAGATTGTGTAAAGTTTTCCGTCTACCAAAACAAATAATTGTATATGGTATATGTTCGTAGCTAGCTAAAGGAGACTAAGTCGGTTCAATTTTTAGATGGACAGGTGGGGAAAAAATAATTCTTTAAACCAATAATTAAGTAATATTCTTGATTATATGCTAAAGAAAAATCAGCTTGGGTTAACACTTTCGAGGCAAAGAAGCCAACTAGCTAAGAACAAAGCAAATCATTAGATTTCCAATAAGACGAGTAAACTTCAAAGCAGGCCTATTTCTTGTAAATTGTAGATTACTCTTGTATCACATTTTATCTAATGTAATTATATTTTAACAGTAGCATCAAGAATTCTAGATTGTCCAGATTGAAATGAAGGTGATTTAGATTTATTATTATGTTTTAAGCATTTTTATTTTAATAGACACAAGATACAAAATAAAATATAATTTTTCTAAATATATATGACTCAGTAAAAATTTATGAATTAAAAAAGTACAAATTTAGACCATTCAAATTTAAAACAATGCCAAGAATTGGCAGCGGATCAATTCCCTTCATGTTATCGAATATGAAAGTTTAAAAACTTGTTGAAAAAAAATCTATATTTAGTATTCGATCATACTTTAAACATAATTTCATTTAATAAAAAAATACTTGTGAGTATTTAAAAAAATAGTTAATTATTACATTCAATCATCATCTGCCCAATTCTTTTAGTGTTTAAGAATAAGTTTCTATCTGGAAAAAAAAAATCGTACTGTGAAATTCTTAATTTTTTGGTCTGATTAATTGATCAACATGTATAATCGGCCGAATACTAGGCTCATTTAATTTGTCCAATTCCTTTTGATCCAATCCAATACGTCTAAAGAAGCATCATTGGGCTTCTGCCCACTTCGAACGAATCTAATCTAATCTAAATGAATAAAATTTGATGTAATTTAGAATTAAAAAATAAATACAAGGAAAATAGAATTTAAGGGGAAAAATCGATCGAGTTGTTGAAGAGGCCGGCACGTGCGGGCCCAAAATGAGTATTATGACTGTGAAAAGAGGGAAAGTTGGGGAATCGGATTCGCTAAAATGCTTTAACCTTTACTTGTGGAACTCTTCTTTGTTTCTCCGAAATTTCCTTTTCTGCTAAGACATTCTTTCCTAAAACACTATTATCCCCGCCGATACAATAATTTAAGGAGTCAATGACATTCATGAAAATATTAGTTCAATAATGCAATCATATTTACATGCTTAAGTTAATAATGATTTTAGGGAAAAATTTATACACTTAGATTTATATATTTAAAGTGTTTATTTCTAATTAAATCAAAACATATGAATTTTTTTATAGGTTATTTATTTCATAACAAACTCTTAATATTAATATTATTAACACATTAAAATCAATATGTTTTAATTTGACTAGATAAAAGTATATTAAGTATATGAGGTTAAATATCTAATCTTGCCCTTAGTTGAAATCCTTTGAAATTGATTTGTCTTATCAAATAAAGATTTTATATTTTTATAAAAAATAATAAAAAAATTAATCATTTGATCTTTATAGTTTTAACTCAGTTATAACTTAATCTCTAATCTTTAACTAGTTATATCTCAATAATTGAAGTTTTGACTCGATTGTAAATCGATTCTTGAACTTTGCCTCTTACAATTTAGTCCATGAAGTTTCAACCTCTTAAATATTAGTCCCTACATTTAAAAAAATAAAATTATAAAGATTAAAAATATTTTAGAATTTATTACTAATATTTTAAATTACTAAACCCATTTAATATTTCTAAATATTAAAATTTTAAAATATTTTTAATTTTTATAAATTTATTTTTTAAAATGTAGGGACTAATATTTAAAAGGTTAAAACATCAAGGACTAAATTGCAAGAGGTAAAGTTCAAGGATTGATTTATAATTAAGTCAAAACTTGAAAAACTGAATTATAACGAGTCAAAAATCAAGAACTGAGTTATAACTATGTTAAAACTATAAAAATTAAATGATTAATTTTATGAGAGAAAATATTAAAAAAAATCATATAAATTCATCCCTATCAACTTTAAAGGATTTAAATTCATTCTATGGACGTACACATAAGTAATTTTAAAAGAATCTGTAATCCATAATTAAGGGAGAAATATTCCTGGTTTCACATTAATGATGCTCTGGTCGCCCCTAAAAAGGAGGGCTGAGCTTGAAACCAAATTAAGAAAGAGAAATCAGATCATAAATAAGTGAAGTTAGTGTTACGGTTTGGACGACATCGATGGCGTCTCCGGCAGAGCTGAGGAAGATCGGCGTTGAAGGGTTCGGTCTGATAGACAAGTACTTCGGTCCACAGAGACGGGGCGGCGTGGTGGTTAACGGTGGAATGGACGAACCGCCCGTGAACCGTAAAGATGCACCATACGGGATCGTGGTCGTCAGCTGCACTGCCAACAAGGCTTCAAAAACCCATCAGACTCGTTGGGGCAGATCCCTTAAATCTTAATTAAACCCTCCAGCACGTAGGTTTACACCTTATCGATCATCTTCTAATATCATATGTATGATATGTGTGTGTATTTGTGTAGCGAGAAAAAGCAGCTCGGAGACCTGCAAATATATGCGAAGATCTTCTGAAGCTTAGGACTGATGGATCTCATGTATATTGATATATCTGTACTTATAACTTGGAGTGCAAGTTATATATGAAAAGTTCCCTTCATTTACCAATTAATTAACCACTTGCTCTCTCTACAAACACACACAAAGACTATATATCTCTCTTGTGTGTTTAATTAGTAATCCTTGAAATCAAGCTCGCATCCCTAATCTATTTTCATTTTGTTGAAGAACGTGCAAGTTTTTGCGTATTGTGGGTTTGGTAGTTTTCAATACATTCGATCCATACTTAAACTGAGAACAGATCGGCGAGATGAAGGAGACGGTTGCAAGAGGGAGAACGCATTATACACACATTGTTTATTCATATAAACACATAAATATATGTTTATTCATATGCACACAATTTTTTCAAGAAAATTTTTGGCCATCTATATATCACTCTCACGAATTCAATCTTGGATTGGATCCATCCAATACAACAGCCATCTTTGTAACCCCTGCTCCAAATCAAGAATTATTGCCATCCAACTTAAGTTCTCAAACAGCAAAATCAAATTGTAACCTCGCCGCCGGCAGGTCTGCCACTCCATCGGTCACCGATCGTTCCAGGCCAGTCACATCGACTACGATATTCCGCCGCTTCCCTCGCAAGGTTTATAATTTTTCTTTTCTGTACATTAACCGTCTTTGATGTATATTGATTTCAGAAGATATCGATGATATGATTTCAGAAGATGATTCTGATTGTTTTTTCCCCCGTGGATGTGGAAAATTTAATTTGAGTCACGTGCATGCTCTATGACGAAATTCTTAACACTATTGATCCACATTTAACAGTTTTAAATAAGAGGGACTAACGGGTTTTATAGCAGAAACTAAAAAGACATTAAAAAAAGGTTCACAAAGTAAAATTTCTTCTGCCATTATTTTGCTGTAGAGATGTCAAATTTTATTATTATTATTATTATTATATATGTTTTCCTCTTATTATTTTCATTTCTTTTTTTTTCACCCGTAAAAAATTCGAAACCCCTTGTGAACGGGTTGTTCTAGCCAGTTACCCCTGAAAACGCAAATTTTTTTAAAGCTTTCGACCATGTTAATCTTAGCAGAATTTAGAATAAAAATAGAATATTGATGAATGACTTGCAAATAATTATTTCATTCATTCAAAAATATAAAGTATTTTTTAAAGAGTTAGATATTAAAAATATAAGACTTTTTTTTATTTTTTTAAGGTATAAGTTGATAAAAAAAGTGTAATCATTACCTTTTCCTTCAAAAACATCTCTCATTAATAAATTACTTTATATTTATTTTAGAGTGAAATATCATATTAAATTGAGTAAATATAAAAAGATTGTATTAATTTAAAATAAGTAACTATTTTTTTATATGGTGAGATTCAATTAAAAATATTTTATATTTTTTAACAAAAGGAGTAAGAAATTAAAGAAGTATTTTGCAAGGGGAATTAGATTCATCTTGTTGTCTGTGCTGTTTCGTTTTCCATGAAAACTGGGGTGATATAATTTGAGCTTAAAAGGATCTCTGGGACTAGCAGATTCTTTCCCAGTGCTCTTCATGTAGTTTTCCTCATCTCAAACCTAAATGATGATATTTGTTCCCTTCTTTTGTTTTGGTTTGTTCTTAGTTCTGAAAAATATGTTCTTAATATATATATATATATATATTTATACGAATGAAGTTGAAACTTATTAAATTTTTGGACAAAATTAATGAGATTTAAGTTTTTTTTAATTATCATAAAACATATTGAAAGTGATTTATAAATAAGATCAGATGGAGTACACATCAAATTTAATTAAAAAAGGTCTATTTTTACCGTTTGTATGCCCCCAAAGAATTAACCTATATGTACGGAATTGTCCCAAGAAAAAACCTATATATACAGAATCGTTTTAAATTCAACATTTTTCATACTCCCTTGTTCAAAATGTAAGGCATTTTTTGAAGAGTTTGATGTTTAAAAATATAAGACATTTTTAGTTTTTTGATATGTAATTATTGTCTTTTTTTAAAAGTACCCCTATTAATAATGAATTTATATTTATTGTAAGGGGTTTAATAGGGATAAATATGAAAAGATATAGTTAGTTGAAAAGTATATAACTACTTTATTAGGAAAAAATTTTGATTAAAAATGCCTTATATTTTTAAATGAAGGGAGTATTAATTAATTGTTGAATTTCAAAAGCATCAAAAGTGAAGTTAAAAAATGTGTATAGGTTACAAACGTGGAAAGAATGAATATAAAGAAAGAGAATAAAAAAATTTGAGTATTTAATTTAAAAATGATAAGAAAATCAAGATCACAGAGCTTGTAATAGACTTGACGTGGGATCCTGCATGTTAAACTCATAAATATTTTTTCTACAGAATTTGGATATATATTTAGTAATTAAATATTGGAATGACAAATAACATATTAGCACAGGAGGAAAAATGGCTTCTTGTCATATACATTAGCATCTCATACCATATATACGGTATCTAAAAAAGTGTAAAGATTTCCTTTGTACAATCATTGTTTGTGGTATATATTCCTAACTAAAGGGAAAAGGTCGGTTCAATGTTTAGACGAGTGGAGAGAAATTATTCTTAAAACCAATAATGAAGAAATATTCTTGGTTATTATTATACCCTAAAGCAATTAAAACCAGTTTGGATTTCTATAGAAGGAGACCTGAACTTCTTACTTTGCAAAATAAGAACCCAACTCAATAACAAACAAAGTCATGTTTTAGATTTCTGTTGCATTATTTCCAGTTAGATAAGGTTCAAGGTTGCATGGTTCTTTTTTTTTCTTTTTCTTTTTCTTTTTTTTCATTTCCCACTACACCAAATGATGGCTATGTTTCTTGTAACTTGTAGGATACTCTTGTACATGTGATGTGAACAGATTAAAGAAAAAAAACAAAATCAATAACAGGGGAATTTGATTCCTCCCCACTAATTTTCTGCACAAATATCGTTATGTTCTTATCAAGAATAAAATTAATTATTGAAAAAAACTTATATACTTAAAGTGCTTCTATCCAATTAAATTAAGATATGTGGATCTTTTATAGATTATTTATTCTATAATAAATTTTTGTTATTAATTAAACTAATATATTATGATCCACATGTCATGATTTGATTAGATATAAGCATGTTAAGTATATAATTCTAAGTGCAAAAGTCTTGCCGTTATTTTTTTTTTTTGTGCATATATCATCACCACACAAGTAGTATCAATTTCATTTTAATTCGTTTCTCTCCAGTGTATTTTACTCTAAGAAAAATTATAACCTCTGTTTCATTTTAATCAAAACTCAACAAATTAATTTAATTTACTTGCTTTCTATTTATTATTAAGGCTGAAATGTACTTCTTGTTCTATTTCTTTCAGTTTTGTTTGAGAATTTGGACGTTAAGCAATAGCTGAGGAAGTTGCTATAATTTTGATATTCTCAATTGTCAATTAAATATACTGTAGTAACAACTTTTTTATATTTTTTAAAAAATAATTTGTACTTAGCGTGTGTCTTTATTTTGTTTTATTTTTTATTTTGCTCAAACTTTACCTTGTGTCTAGCTGGTCCATTTAATGTGTGAGTATGAGTAACACTTATAATATAGTACATGTTATTTACAAATCGTCAATGACGCCTAAAGTCATGATCATCAATATTCAACACACGGTACAATTAAAAATATAAAATACTTTTAAAAACTATTTGCCAAATGCATCTACACCCCTGTTATGAGACCATTACTAAAGACTAACAAGTTGGGGTGTATAACGTACTTGTTATAAAATCAGGACTCTTTCTAAGCTTAGGCAAACTCAAATCTAACTCTAATACTACTTTATTATCGGATCATTATTCTCTCTCCAAAAGACTAACTTATTGAAGTGTACAGTGTACCTACTTATATAAATAGGTTTCTTCCCAAATTCTTTTGGGACACAATAACCCACACACAATCGTAAGTTTTTAACGAAGAGAAGACTTCAATTGTTAATTGTTATTTTTTGTTTGTGGTTAAAAAAAAAAAGAGGCCAAAGCCCAGTAGAGGAGACTTCAATTATTAGACACGTGTGTGTGTGATTCGTTTGCGCTTCCCCTTCTCGATCTGTACAAAGATGAAACCGAATTTAAAGTATTTTAACACATAGTGATTGAGAAATTTGTTACTCGGTGGGTTGGTCCAACTTACCTAATCAATTAACTCATTTATAAAAAATGAAACAAAAATAATAGCTTAATTATGGGCAAGTAAAGTGGCCTTTTCAATTTTTTAAAAATTAAAATAAAAAGGGCTTCCAACATCTGTTTCATATAATATCTTATGAAACCAAACCTTAATATCACTTTATGAAAGGCGAAGTTTAAAAAATAGGAGAATAGAATAAATAGGCAAAGAGTGACAGAAAAACACCCTCATAATTTAAGTTTATAAATATTCTTTTATTTTCTTATATATAATTTATTAATTCCAAGATATAAAGACTCTGAACATCAACTCAAATTCATATACATACGTCAAGAAATATTTTCTCATTATGAAGTTAAATTTGATGCAGGAGAGCCTCTCGTAGGTTGGCCCACAAGAAGATGCTAGTGAGAGGAATCAACCATGTGGGTGCCTATAAAGGGTGCCCTGGAGCTTGTTCCTCCTTAAAAACAAAGGAACATATCATCATAGGAGAGTTGTGAACAAATCATCATCATCATCATCAGTTTGATATGGCATCACCAGCAGAGCTGAGAAAGATCGGGCTTGAAGGGTTCGCGCTGATAGACAAGTACTATGGTCCACAGAGAAGGAGCAACGTCGTCGTTTATGCAGACATGATCAACACTAAAGATTCTGCACCTCCCAAGCCCCCAAACCTCCAGTTCCATCCACTCGCTGGGGTAGATTCCTTAAATCTTATTAAACCCTCCAACACCTTAAATCTTATTAAACCCTCCAACACATACATTTTGCTCTGTGCTCCATCATCTGTTTATATTTATGTATGTAGCAAGAAAAAGGAGCTCAGAGACCTGCTGCAAATATATATGTGTGCGTGTGTGAAGGTCTTCTGATGAAGACCCTGTCTCGAGTATTATATCTGTGTCTGTCTGCTGTATTGCTTCATCTGTTTAGTTGATGTTATGCGTGTGTGTGTGTGTGTGTGTGTGTGTGTGTAAATATATCTGTGGTGTTCCGCGCTGGGCGCGGCTCTCACTTATATTTGGATTGGTGCCTTGATTACTATTTGTCTCGGTGAAATCCTAGCTAGGCATGGTACTATTTCCATATTCCGATTATTATTTTTTATTTAAATACTCTAAAGTTGGGATCGGAAAATTTAGGTGAAGTTTTCTTTCTTTTTTTAATATTTTTGCTCGGTTTATTATTTTTAAAAAATATAAAGTCATTTCTCTCTCTTTCTTTAAAAAAAAATCAACTAATATACCGATTTTAATTTCAAAGGATTTAAATTTAATTTTTTTGTATTGAAATTCCTCAGCTGTCAAACTAAAACCATGAGCCGCGCACGAGCACACATATATATCGAGTATATATAACACCTGCTCGAAAATATAAATAATAGAAACTGGTTTGGGGAAATTGGGATTTTTTGAGAAGCGAGTCAAATATCCTAAGTAAGTTGCCTTCATTTATTTTCTTATATTTCATAAATGGCCTTGGTTATTTAAAAAAAAAAAAAAAAACTCCCTCAGGCGAGGTCTAATTCTGAAGCAGTCATGATTGGTATAGTGCTGTGATATATTTTTTAGCCCTCATGTAAAAACTCTGTATTTTTAACTCGTGATTGTTGTTGACCAGCAAGTTCTATCTTGTGACTTTTTAATTACTAATCTAATTATCCAAACAAACCCGTTTCAAATGACTTTTCAAAAAAAAATTTGGTGTAAAATATAAAACTACCATAAATTTTGATACAGTGGCATATAATTCCCCTCACCTTTAAATGTTTAAAAAATAATTTCCCTAACTTTTAATGTTTTCCCACATACTCCCTTACTATTTTTAACTCTTATCATTATTTTTTTCAAAAAAATCCCTGAAACACCCAAAATTAAGTGGAATTTGTGAGTTTTCTAAAAATAATAAAATAACAATAATAAAGAGCAGCGTGATTACAACAATCACTAAATAATGAGAGCAGTCATGACCACATTGAAGTGTGTTAAAAGAGAAAATTACAATTTTGCTCGTCATTAAAATTTTGTTAAAAAAATAATTAAAATATTTTTTTTGCATATTAGGAGTCATGTATATTGCATTAATTTGATATGACAAACTCTGTTAACAAGATAACAGGGTTATTAACGGTGTGGGTTATGTGGTAAAAAAACGAATAATGGTTATGGTGATTAATTTTAGATGATTAAAGTTGAGAAGTGTTATGCACAGCTATATCAAAATTTGGGAGAGCTTTGTACATTTTAACCTAATTTATATAAGATATAAGTAACAAAATAAAAACTAATATCTATACGTATAAAAGTAAATTAGATATTATGTCCTATCCCATCCAACAAAACCAAATAATATAATATAAAAACAATATCCTCCCCTCCATCGATCCCCTCCCCTCTTTTCTTGAACCAAACACATCTTAAGGTTATCAAATTAATTTTAAAAAATATATCTAAATATAAATCTCATTATAGTAACTAATATTTTACCTATTTCAGTTTGGCAAATAACCTTTTGACATACGAGCTTTTGACAGGCAAATTGAAAACTAAACATCCACACAATTATATATGTATAATGTATATATAAGATATAGTAATAGCTAAATTTGTTGCAGTTTTTTTTTTAAAAAAAAAAGCTAATGATTTGTTATGATCATTAATTGTAGTGAAGGGTAAAATTAAAAAGGAAACTTTTTTTAAAACAAATTTAAAGATATATTATTAACTATCATTCTTCAAGAATTGTGAAGTTCATCAACTTTGCCTTATAATTAGTTCCAGAGGGAGTATACAAAGAGCAATGCGTTGAATATAATTAATTGAATAGGATTTTGTGGAATATCACTATCAAGTGTCCTTGGCAAATAGGACTTAGCGGAATATCACTATCAAGTGTTTTTTGCAATCAATTAATTAATCAATGGATGTTAAATATACTTTCCACTAGGAACGTAATTTTAATAACACAAGATCTCCAGCCGTTTTCTGAACACCGAAAGAATTAAAATTAAAAGAATGGCGACTTAGCTTGCAAGTTAAAATAAAGGAAAGAAGAAATATTATCCACAGGGAGGAATTAGATTCACTACGTTTCCTTCTGGGCGAAGATTGAAAAATAATATGAGCAGAAAGGGATATGTGGTTGGGTTCTTTCCCACAATTCATCATCTTTAATTTTGATCCTTATCTTCACCAAAATCATTCCCAAATTATGATGACATTGAATATGTTCCCGTTACCTATATATATCAAGCTTAAATAAAGGATCGCTTAAATCATTAAAATGCACATGCTAGCATTTAAATTCTTTATATTAAATATGTTCAAGAATAATATACTTCATCAAAATAATTTAAGTCAGTCAGATAAACACATCCCAAACTTTATATATTCGTAATATATTATCTAATTACAAGTTTTTTATATTAATTATTTATAATTAGTGTCTTTGGGGGTAGTCAATTTCATCAAAATAGTTTAGATACATCATTAGCTTTGTATATTTCTAACAACATTGGACTTCTTTATCTCTAATATGTGTGTTGCCGAAACAAGACAAAGGAGATTATCTCAATAAAAATCATGAACTTTTTTAAAGAAATAAAGTTACAGCAGTATCCCAAATATTAATTATACGACTTTCACTAACACTTTACTCATCCAGTACTTTTCCCTACACTAACTACAGAAATAAAGTTAGTGTGGGAATAATCCCTGCACTAACTGCCAATTAATCTTCATTATATTCTTCGGTTCCTTTTTTACTCATCCAGCCCTTTTCCCCAGGTTTCAAAGATTCGCTCTGGAAAAGAATTACTGAACTAGAGCATTTAATACTAATAGCGTTGTTGAATTCTTTATATTAAATATACTTAAATTAAAATAGTATACTTTATTAAAATAGTTCAAGTCAATTGACAGACACATCACAACTTTATATATTTGTAATATATTGTCTAATTACTAGTTTTTTATATTAATTATTTATAATTAATATGCTTGAGAGTAGTTAATTTCATCAAAATGACTTAAACTATTTGCTTTGGTGCATCCTTAAGCTTTGTATATTCTTAATAACGTTGGACTTCTTTATATCTAATATGCATGTTCCCCAAACAAGACAAAGAAGATTATCTCAATAAACATCAATGAACTTTATTAAAGAAATAAAGTTACAACATCATCCCAACATTAATTATATGACTTTCACTGACATTTATACTCATCCAGTACTTTTCCCTGCACTAACTACAGAAATAAAGTTAGTTTAGGAATAATCCTTACATTAATAACTGCCAATTAATCTTTATTCTTCGGTTCCTTACTTTTCCCCAGGTTTCAAAGATTCACGTTTGAATAGAATTACTGAACTAGAGTATTTAATACTAGTAGTGTATTTCCTCAATTCTTATTATAAGGCACATCTAATTATCTCACTAAAATCAAGGGGAGTGGTTAAATCATTAACCTTTTTTAAAAGAACTTTTAATTTTACCCATATTTAAATGAAAAAATTTTAAATTTGCATTACATTCTCTCTCATGATTAACATGTTTAAATAGGGGTAACACTAAAAAAAATATAATTAATAACTCAATAAGTGTCTTATATTAAAAAACATCAATCTCTTTTAGAAAGGTGCATTGTAGTTATAACAAGGACCAGAGAGATAGTGTGCGTGTATATATATTCACACAAATAGAGAAATAATGGTAGTATTGTTGATTATTGTTCTCATTGTTAGTTCTTCTTCAAATTAGTTCAATTTCGCTTATGCTATTGATATAGGGAATTAATATAACATTCCTTTTGTGAATCAACCGAGCTTATAATATAACATCCCTTTGATTCTAAATATAGATGCTTGTTGAAGAGTTGGTTTTCATCGAAAATATAAGACTGGTCCACAATGCATCTTTATCGCTCATATTTATTATTTTTTTTTATACTACCCATATTGATCGCACACAGAAGTAATCAACAAGGGAAATTTCCTTTTTTATAATTAATTCTGCTGTGTTTTTTTGGTTTTGTATTTTTTTTTCTTTTGTGAATTGTATGTTACATTGTATTCTAAGTTTTTTAAAATGTTTTTTTGACTTCGGTAATTAATAATTGTAATATTTTTTTTAGTGATTAATAAAATTGGCTCTCTATTTTAGCAAAAAAGAAAAGAGTAGTTTCTAATAAAAATGATTAAAATGAGGAGTGATATTATTTATATAAACAACTAATTAACTTACCTCATTTCTTAAATTCATATGAATGAATTATTTAGCTTTGGGAGCAATATAATTACAACCATGAGTGTCTTATAACGCATATTCCTGGCAAAAGCGAACTTAGATGTCAATAACATCAATTTGTTTGCAAATATTTTTTCTTTAATTTCCCACCTCTTGTCTGCTTCTTCATGTATGAAAAGTTCCACCGCTCCTAAATATGTGCTCATAAAAGGCTAGCAGCTAGAAAGCAACAATATAAAATTCATTACAGTTTCTGCGCATTTCTTCTCTTTCTTTCTTGTTATATACTCTAGCCATTTGTTGAACTAACCCAATTATTGTGCATGCGGCCACATAAGCAGGCCTTGGCCCAAACTTTGCTCAATCTACTCTCACGAAAGGCCCTCAAAATTTAGTTGGACCTACAGTCTTGTTATTTTCTGAATCTGGATACTTTTTTTAAATAAAAAAACCTAAAACATTTTTATGGTATAAGAACTAGAGTCGGTAATTTAGGCTAGCCTGATGGGCTGGCCCGAATTGGCCCAAAAAATTTTAGATCAGGCTTAAAAAAAAGATGTTTTTTAATGTTCGGGCCTATTTGGGCCGGCTGAATATGCCCGAATACCCGAATAAAACAATTATATTTTTTTAAAAATATATAAAATATAATAAATATTAATTAATTTTTTAAGTTTTAGATCATTTTATACTAAAATACTATATATTTGAGTCCTAGACATCATTTAAGTATTAAAAAAATATATTTTATATTTTTTATAAAATAAAATAATTAATTTCAAAGTAAAAAAATAAT